TTGGGCTCTCAAATTCAGGGCAGACATTTTTACAGTTATGAAGCAAAACTTGCATATTACCTTATAGCATGAGATACAGACATTACAAATAAGATTAATTCATGTAGCAACGTACAAGTATTTTATAGTTTAAACACAACACTAAATACATCTTTGCGAGTCTAACATCTATCTTGAACACGCAGATGAGCTGGTCTGGTTTCCAGCTAAGAATTTGTCCATGCTCAGCTGAAGCCTACAGCCTTGGCAAGAGCTGGCACCTGGTCTACCATCATCACATATTACTTCAAAATGCTTCTTTAAAGCAGACACATCTCCCTTTGATGTCTTCTGATTCCATTGAAAATGTTGAAATAAGCAGAATTTTAGGGAGATTTCACATTTTCCATTGTATTTGATAAATAACTATGCTGAATACTAATACATATCTGTGTCATCATTTTTTTTTTCAGCTAAAACCAGGACAGGTAGTTGTGGTGTTAAAATGATTTTAGGGAGGGAAAGAAGCTGCCATCTTGAATGCCTTTCCTAAATGTTTAGAAAAAAATTATGGTAATAACGTCGTGTCAGTCAATGATCTACTTTTCTCTTTCTTTTTCCTGTATATTGAAAGTTTCAATGCAAGTTTTGAAAATGTGAATAGAGATATATCTGCATGTTGTGGTATCATGTATACTTGGAAGCCACCTTAATACTTTATCCCACTAAGACCAGACACAGCACAAAAATGAAAGGTCCCAATTACTCCCCTGTGTTGGAGCACCCCAATTTCTGGAAGTAGGATGGCAGTACATGGCACATCCTGGGGTGTCTACCAAAAGATCAGCACCTCAAGAGGAGGAGTTAGAAATTGCAATATGAGCCACATGAATGACAGAGTGCCATTTGGCTGCTTTCTGATGCCTGTAGAAGAAAGCAAACCAGAACTCCAGGCATCTAGTTCCAGCTCTGTCAGGGACTTGCTTGGCCATCAATTTGATCGAGTTGCCTACAAACTGATCCCCAAAGTCCATTGAATCAATGGAAGTCCTTCAGCAGGCTTTTTGGATGAAACCTCTAGTCTCTGTATTCTCAGTTCTTCATCTGTAAAATGGATGCTATAATACTTCCTTACCTCACAGGGATGTATGCAAACCACCTGGAGAGTTTTTTAGCTTGAAATTGGTACTGTTGTTATTTAACCTTCCTACTAAAATGTGACTTGGTGAATGTGATCCAGGAACCACTTAGTGCCAACTGGCAAGGGGCACAGAAGGGGGTGTATAGGTATAGGGATCTCCTGGGTCTGGTATGTCCATTCTAGTTTACCAAAGAATGTCATGTGAGGTCTCAAATAAAAGCCAGTGTCACACTGGTTGTCATTTTGAAATGCATGTACGGATGTTGTGTAATGAGTTATGCATATACAGTGAAAATTATGTTCTAAAGACTTTGTCTAGGGAATGGTCACCAGCAAAGGTGAACAAGTTTTCTGTTAGATATGATTTTTTTTATCTAGGGGGCTTTTACATGTAAATTAAGTATTTACAGTGGACGAGAAGCTGGATATGAGTCAACAGTGTGCCCTTGTTGCCAAGAAGGCTAACGGCATTTTGGGCTGTATAAGTAGGGGCATTGCCAGCAGATCGAGGGATGTGATCATTCCCCTCTATTTGACATTGGTGAGGCCTCATCTGGAGTACTGTCCAGTTTTGGGCCCCACACTACAAGAAGGATGTGGAAAAATTGGAGAGAGTCCAGCAGAGGGCAACAAAAATGACTCGGGGGCTGGAGCACATGATTTATGAGGCGGGCTTAGGGAACTGGGATTGTTTAGTCTGCAGAAGAGAAGAATGAGGGGGGATTTGATAGCTGCTTTCAACTACCTGAAAGGGGGTTCCAAAGAGGATGGATCTAGACCGTTCTCAGGGTACCAGATGACAGAACAAGGAGTAATGGTCTCAAGTTGCAGTGTGGGAGGTTTAGGTTGGATATTAGGAAAAACCTTTTCACTAGGAGGGTGATGAAGCATTGGAATGGGTTACCTAGGGAGCTGGTGGAATCTCCTTCCTTAGAGGTTTTTAAGGTCAGGCTTAACAAAGCCTTGGCTGGGATGATTTAGGTGGGGATTGGTCCTGCTTTGAGCAGGGGGTTGGACTACCTGACCCCCGGAGGTCCCTTCCAACCCTGATATTCTGTGTTTCTATGATTCTATTGTGTAGTTTATCAAGGGACTCTCCTCACCAGTCTGAACTGAAGGTTAATGAAGGATTGTGGGAATTTCAAAGAAGAAAATTAACAGGAAAGCAAGCAGCGGGGAAGGGAAGACATATCTTGAGCTGCTCATCAAGGGTTGTTCTACTGTATTTGGGGGACATCCTTTTTATCCTTCACCCAGGAAGTAAGCAGACAGTGAGTTTACTGCATGGGAATGGGATTACAACCAGGCTTGGTTGAAATAGCTGCAGAGAACTTTGGGTGAGATAAGCTTCTCTTGATGAGAGGATAACTTGTTGGTTACGTTTAGAAAGCATGTTGTGATTCTCTAGAAAGCATGTTGTGATTTTGTTTTGCCTGTAACCATTTGTTTCCAATATTCTTACTCACTTTCACTTGAATCTCTGTTCTTTGACAATAAATGCACTCTTGTTTTCACTGCAAATATATCTACGTGGTGTGGTGTTAAGCAAAGTGATGATCCCGAGTTAAGTCTTACAAGTGGGTGTGGACTGTTCCGTTGGGAACAGCGGACCTGGAAATTCCCAGTGTGTTCAGCGGACAAGGGGTGGATGCTACAGGGAACAGCCCCAGGATTTGGGAGTTGGTGTGTGCCTATTGCTATCTGTGCAGAGAGAGTGAGGTGCATGTGTTGCCAGGTGCTGGTGGTTTCAGGGAGCTGAATCACAGCAGCCACAGACAAGACTTGCTAAAGCCAGGTGTTGGTGAGGTGTCTCACAAATCTCAGTGCCCCTGGGGATCATCATAGTTAGTCTTTCTATATGCCAGTAGCTGTGTTTTTTGTGGCGTGTGCCTGTGTGTGCATTGGAGATATTTTCTGGCAGTAGATTAAGTTAATTATAAGTGTTATCCTACCTCTTGTGTTCTTAATTAGGTATCAAAGGAAATACTACCTGTAAATTACTATTCTGCTCAAGTTCCACTCAGCTTATTCCATGAAGTGAGAAGAATAATCCTAAACCATTGAACTGCCCCAGTATAGTACAAGTTTTATAAATAATACCTTATACATAAGGATCTCTGCTTATTGGTGAGAATATGTTGTTGGAAAGCCAGAATGTGAAGAAGACATTCACAACATGATGGTGAACACAGGACAAAATTCTACTCTCAGTTGCATTGATGTAAATTGAAAATAACTGCCTTGAGTTCTGTGCAGTGACCCTGTACTTATGTTACCATAACTGAGAGCACAATTTGGCACATAGAGCATAACTAGTTTTTTACCTAGTATGAAATCTGTATTACGAAATTGGATACTTTCCCTCATTAATTGCTGCAAGAGAGAAACAGCTTAACATTGTAGATCAATTCAGAGGTCAGTCACGACATTTTTTTAAATAAAATTAATTATTAATACCCTAATCATTCACTTAAGATGTTATTAGTTTCATTGATCAGTCCTTCCTGCTTATCTACAGCCAATCTAATCATCATGCATGTCAGAATATCTGAATATATTCAGTTAGTCTTCACTCTCTTCAAATTACATCTTCAGATCAGAAGATAAGGATTCTTAGTCTTCTCAGCACATTGAACCTGATTTTATTAGAAGAATCTTATCAATTTTAGCTCACAAAAGCAACCAGAGACTTCTAATGATACTACTTCACTTTCTATTAGTCATGCAGTTTGTCTTGTAAACATGAAGGCTCCTTAACTTCTAGACATCAGAGATATGAATAAATGATAAGAATGTATGATTGGTGAAATTATGTATTTATTTATAGTATTTAAATGCCTGCTGTGGTTATTTCCGGATAGAAGTCCTATGTAGAAAAGGGATATTTTCTCCCCCTAATTTGTCATGGAGATTAGAGTGCCCGGAAAAGATCAGGTTTCATTTGGAAATGCTTAGATGATAATTTCATTGAAGGTTTCCAATGTGTTTCGGGTTCCTTATCTGCGCATGGGTAACAGTGTGGATGCTTCAGGAAAACTTCCCAGAGAAGGGGTGGGAAGAAAAAGGTCATGCTCTACAGAAAATGTATTGCCTCGAGACATTGATGTGACTCTCAGATGTTTTACAGCACTGTGATCCTTGGCTGGCCTGATGGTCTAGTGACAACACGACATGCTGCCATGCAGGAAATCTGAGTTACAGTGTAGAAATTAGTCCCAAGCTGACTATGTCACTGCAGGGTTATGGGAGGAGAGGGAGTACCCTGGTTGAGTAGGCAGAGAGAAGACCTCACCACCTCTAGAGACAGTCTCCTTTGGACAGAGTGAGATTTACAATTTCTGGAGGTAGCTACATTTTGCTCAGTTCAGTTGCTGAAGTACTTTGAAGTTGTCAGACAGTAAAGAGGGATAATAATAATTCTTTCATCTTCAAAGTGTTTTACACAATTAACTAACTAATAACAGCTCCCCCATGAGGCAAACAGGTGAGTTTACAGAGGGGAAAAATGAGGCAGAGAAGTTCAAATGACTTGCCCAAGGTAACCGAGAAAGTGGAGGACGCAGAATCAAGATTATATCACAGGAGTCTGCCTACCAATCCTATGCTCAGATCACATAGACTGCACATCTCACAGATATACTGCTCCTCTGCAAATACCGACACACACTCTGTAAATCCTCTTCTTTGTTCTTCAGATCCTTAATTTCTAATTCCTGCCCCCACCCCCACCCCACCCAGACTGACTTTATAAAGCAACAATTTCTGTTTCCCTCCAGGTGTTAATTTCATTTAGCTCACATGGAAAGATACACTCTCATAGTATAAAAAGCTGTAATCCTAAATCTCATTGTAATGTGTCTCTCTTTTTTCCCCCCCACAGATTAAAGGTTGTGTAAAACTTAAAAGAAGCAGCATTCTATTCACTAGTTATTGGACTCGCGCCTCCTTTGACCTCGGAAACTGAAAATGAGGTTGCTATGGGAACTGCTCGTGCTGCAATCATTCATGTTGTGCCTTGCAGGTAAAGTGTCACTTTAAAACTTTTTGATTTAAAAATGCCACTGTATTTCACACTAATTCAAATTACACCAAGTTTTATATGCCAATGATAAAACAGCAAAGTAAGACTCCACTCTGTGAACTGCATTAACAAAGACTGCTGAACAGACCAAACCAATGCTCTCAACCTGCTTCTTTAATATTGATTAGTATCTCCAAAGCTAGACTCTGCTATTTCAGATACCAGTTCTACCCATTTTTAATTGAGTTGTTGTTGACAAAAGCTATTGTTTTGCCCATGTTCCATGCTAAGCAGTTCAATGCTCAATTAAACACTGGTATAGTATAGCATTAAATCCTATGAGAACAATATTGAGAGGAATGATACAAATAATTTGAATAATATGATGCAACACTGTACTCATCTTTTTAACTGCTACAGCACTGTTGTGAGTGAACTGCAGAGTTGTCAGTATTTCAGTCCTCCCTCCTCCCTTAATGCAATCTAACACTCCTTCAAATGCTTGATCCCTGCCCACCATAGTCCAGATCTTCTCCCACCTATATTGTCGTCATCTTGTTTTTCCAACACCAAGGTTGGGTAGGCCTGAGGTTATGAACAGACTCCATCCACATCTGTTTGGGGCACAATTTGAGCTGTTGGGTGTTGCCTGGATGGTTTTATGTTATACCACTGTCTCCTTGGTCATCCTCGGCCTCTCTCTCTCTCCATGGACATGTCCAGAAAGAACAATTTCAGGCAATCGGTAATGGGTTGTTCTACCAACATGGCCAACCCGTTGTAGTTGGCACCTTTTGATGATTATAGTCATGCACTGCACTTTCAGTCTTCTACAGATTTCTTCATTTCTTAGTCTGTCTAGCCTTGTGACACTTAAGATATGGCACAGGCACTTCATCTCAATTGTTTGCAATTTTGCTCCAGGTATTTTTTCAGTACCCAGGTTTCACAACCAAAAAGTAATGTGGGTACAATGAGTGTTGTATGTAGTCGTGTTGTAGCTCGTATGGACACTGCTTTTAAGATCCATACACTTTCTGTGAAAATTGTGTTGGTAATAGCTATCTGCTTGTTGATGTCATTTTGATAGCAGTTGTCATACAATGGAACCCAACTGGCAGAAACTCTACTTGTTCAATGTCTACACCATTAATGTCTAGTTTAGCCTGTTTCTGGATTTCTTGATGTTATCATTGGTTTTGACTTTTGTTCCTTCATTTTTAAGCCCCATTCTATGGCTGTTATGTACAAGTTAGTTGCTGCTTCTTGGTTGTATTCCTCTATAAACACAATAATTATAATATCTTCTGCAAAGTCAAGGTGATTGATAATCTTCCCCACTGCAGGCTCCACCAGTGTTGCTGAGGGAGTTGAACAAGACATTTTCAAAGTGTATAGTAAAAGTATTGGACTTTATATGCATCCCTGTTTGACTCCAGTTTTCACTTCAAACCACTCTGTCAGCTTGCCGCTGACTCATACTGTATGTCAAGCTATGTTATACAGACTCTGCAGTATTTAAATCAACTTGCTGCTAAAACCATACCTCTTGATTACTTGCCACAGAGACTCTCTGTTAGGAGTTGAATACTTAGTCAATGAATATGAAACAGGTATTGAGCTCTGTGTGACTCCAACATTTGATGACAAACAAGTATCTGATATGCCATAGAACATCCAGATCAAAAGCCATCTTGTGACTCAAAGGATTTCCTCTGCTCTTTTTTTTCATTTGGTCAAGGATCACTCTACAGCAGTGGTGGGCAACCTGCGGCCGCGGGCCGCACATGGCCCATCAGGGTAATGTGCTGGTGGGCTGCAAGACAGTTTGTTTACGTTGACCGTCCACAGGCACAGCCGTCCGCAGCTCCCAGTGGCCACGGTTTGCTGTTTCCGGCCAATGAGAGCTGCAGGAAGCGGCAGCCAACATGTCCCTATGGCCTGCGCCACCTCCCGCAGCTCCCACTGGGAACAGCGAAGCGTGGCCACTGGGAGCTGCGGGCAGCCGTGCCTGTGGATGGTTGACGTAAACAAACTGTCATGCTGCCCGCCAGCACATTACCCTGACGGGCCGCAGGTTACTCACCAATGGTTTAGATTGTATTATGAAAGCAGGATCATGTTTCCCTTGTAGTTTAATGCTCATTATGCATGATGAGATGCATCTAAAGCTTTTCAAAGAGCTGTAAATATTTTCTGATAGTATGAAGGCATCTCCTTCATTCTGGGCATTGTCTGTGCTTCCACAATAGATGATTTTATGGTGCTTTGTGGAAAGTTCACCACTTCCAGTCCAGTATGTCTCCACAAATGCCAAAAATGTCTATGGAAAAGATGCCACTCTAGTTCTGAATTCTGCAATTCAAATTCTGACTTTGTCTCATTCATCCTCCTATTAGAACTATAATCCTCCCTGCAAAGATGGATATGTTGATTTCCCTTCCCTGTCTCCCAATCTTCTCTGCCCTGTTTCAATTTTTTCCCTGCCTGCATCTGTGCAGTCTGTTCTCAGCTGACATGACCCAGGGCTGTTTTCTAGTTTGATTGTCTGCTTAACAATATATAACTGGGAAATGAGTGCTGTGGGGAGTGTAGGCCTCAACTAAGTGAGAGTTTCTGGGATATGACTCCTAGCAAGAGTGCTATACACCCCAAATCCCTACAGTGGGAAAATCTCATGATCTGTAATTCACCCCTCCAAACCTTTTAAACAGCCTGTCTCCACTTGGGACATATTCAATTTCTTAAACATTAATCTTCAAAATCACTTTGTACATCGTATTTTTGCAAAACACAAGCCCTACTAAATAATTTCATATTTTTATTCTAGAATGGAGGCCTGCTTCCCCCCCACCCTCTCCAGAGACATGTAACTTGCCTGAGAAGCAAAAGCACTAAGGCAATACAGCTAAGCACACACCCTAATTCAGACAAAAAAGCGGCTTCTTTGCAAACAACGGACCTTATTCTGATCTTGTTAACAAAGGTGTAAAACAGGAATAGCTACATTTGCATGATACTATTAAAATCAGTGTGAGTGAAATCAGAATGAGGCCCAAAATTGTGATGCCAAACACATTCAGAGGTAGAACAAAGGGTTGCTCATGAATGATAAAGAAATACAGTAAGGGTATTTTGAATCTTCCTCCTCCCTTGATAAGACTTCATTGATGGCTTTCTCATTAAACAGTATTAATATTCTTAAACACTTGCTTTGTTCTGAATGGGGGTAGTTAGGTTTTAATTAATGTTTTTGTCATCTTGTTGTTCATCTTGATTGCTCTAATTTATCCACTGCTTGATAGTCAGAATTCTTAAGTGTTTTCTTCAATAACTTGTGTTTTCCTTCCTTTTATATTTTTTTGTTTCTATGTTACTTTTGAGTATTTTCTAAAAGCCAGTTGAAAATATGTTTATTCTCTTAGACTCAGGACCACTGAACATTAGGCCACTTTGTCTAGGTGCCTAAATATTGATTTAGGTACCTAACTTTAGGTACCCACATTTGAAAATGCTGGCGCAAGTCTCTTAAATGTACTATGACAATTCAAGAGCAGGATGAACACTAGTTACAAAGTGTTATACTATTCCATACATGGTGCTAGAAATTCTAACTCTAACAGTGTGTCTTAGGTATAGGTCTAGTATAATTCTATGTTGTTTATACATAATAATAAATTCACCCAATCTCACAAACCACAAGAATGCATGTTTATTTGCTATCATTTCCATCCTAAAAACTCATAAATAAAAAATCTGTTTCTCCATGATATTTAAAGCAATTCAGTAAAATAATATTTCAGAGGATTGTGTTTGGGTTTTTAGGCCTGATGTTTTTTTACATTCCTATTTTTCCCATTTAAGATTTAATTTAAATGAAAACTGGCCTTAATACAGATTGTTCTGCAGCAGCAGTTTTTCCCTCTCCTGTGCTTTGCAATGAATTTCCCAATGACATGGTGTCAGATTCTGTGTTCCAGTTAAGTTGCACTCACCCCGGAACAGAGGGGGTGATATCAAGTTTTGGGCACGTTTTATTTCAGGTGACTGGTGACTATCTGAGGCTTGGTTTTATGGCAAGACAGAGAAGTGCTGCTGCTTTGAGAGAATTTTTGTAACTCCTGCATCATTGTGTCTTTAATTGTTTGCCAAAGATGGCCACAGCTTTGGATAAGGACATCCTTTGATGTGGAATTTTCCTTAGAGTGAAATCGAAAATAAATAATATCGTACTGTCCTGGGACTGGTCTAACTTAATCTCAGCTGTAATGGCCCATGGGCCATTCTGCAACAGAGAATAGCCACAGTCTGGTTTGCTCAGGCCATGGGGGAAATATGACAAAAATGTAGAATATGACACGGTTAATTAAAATTTGTTATATTAGTATGATGGTGGCTAATTACTAGTTCTATAGCTGCCTTACTGTATGATGTACATAACAATACCTAAAATATATAATATGCTAAAAAACCCACCACCTATCTCAAAGAGCTTGCAGTCTTTATTTTATTTTATGTATTTTTAGAGCACCAACAATGCATAGGCACTAAAATAAAGTAAAGTTAAAATATAAGAGTACTGTACTTTCCTGTTCCTATGATTACATGATTCAGGCTCCCTTCAAAGTATCTCTCAGTAAAACTGAGATTTTCCCAAAAATATGTCCTAATTAGAAACTAACAAGATGAAAGGAAGGTTAAGGCTCCCCAGTTCCTAATTCCTTGAATTGATTGTATGGGATTTAGTCTCTTGGTTTTATGGATAATCCTTGTTCAGCACTACAGAGGTGGGAGGAAAATTTACCATCCAAATATGGCCTGGACCAAACATCATTACTCTCCTTTTCTGGAACTCCTAAATGAACTCCTTGTGATCTCAGAACATTGTTTTTACCTGTGAAAACTTGTAAGACTCTGCATAGAAAGACATATAGGAAGAAAGAGGGGTGTCAGGGAATCCCACTATGGAACTAGCATCATGAATCAAATCAGACTTTTTG